CCCCGCCGTCCCCCGCCCGCAGGCGTACGCCACGGTGACCGTGAAGCCCTCCAGCCCCGCGAGGCTGCTCAAGGTCGGATCCGTGGTCCTCATTTCGGGGGTGGTGCTGCTGCTCTTCGGGGCCATCGGGGCCTTCTACTTCTGGAAGGGGAGCGATAGTCACGTAAGTTCAAAGGGCGGCGCGCGGGGCGCAGATCAGAGTCGGGGTGTGTAGCGCGGGAGGTGCACCCGGCCGGGAGGCGCGCGGGGTGGAGGGGCCACTGTCATACTCTAACCCCCGCTAGGTTAAGTCAGAGCGCGGTCCAAGTCGGGCGGGGGCGCTTCTGAGGGGCTGGCCACCCGATGGCCACCCCAAAGCCTCCTTCTAGGCCCTCTCAGGACCCCTTTTCTTTCTCCCTTGTCCCGACTCAGGGCTTTGCTGCTTTCTTCTCAGAGGCAGCATTGCCAGAAAGCAAGTCAAGGTTTTAAGAAAGAATATTGAAATAGTGCAGCAGAGAACGCAGGGAACACTTGGAGGAAACCCGTTCTCGGCCCAGCTAGGCCTGGCTTTTCAAGCGTGTGTGTTGCTTCTCTGAACTCGGTGTACTCATTCTTAAAGGAGGAAATGGAACTGAGACCTCTAAGGCCTGTCCCCTCCAAGAACGGCTATCAATTTTCAATGTAAGACCTAAGACAGAGGAGGGGAATATTCAGACCCATAATTTAGAGTGAATCTTAATCTTTCCACAAGAGTTATCATGTGTGATCTATTTTGTAATAGACCCCTCTCTCTCTCTCTCTCTCTCTCTCTCTCTCTCTCTCTCTCTCTCTCAGAAAAATCTAACTTCCTTAAAGGTGGCGGATATTTGGGGGGGGGGCGTAGCGGGGATCGAACTCGGGACCTTCTGCTTGGAAGGCAGGCTGCGGCACCACTGAGCTAAATCCCCGGCCCATGGAGGAAATTTTTAAGAACATTTCTGGCCTAGTCACTAGTGATTTTATGGTAAATGTTTCACTAACTACTGGCCTGCCTTTTTTGTATGCAACGATTTATTTTGAAGCCCCATGGGTTCTCCAGGAGTATAAAAACTGTTTCTAACTTGCCTGGGCAGCGTTCCAGTGTGTTCTCTAAATACCTGAATGTGTTCACCTAAAAAGAGGGCATTTTATCTTGATGACCATTGCCAGGCCTGGTCCAAGCTTATTTAGAGTAATGGAAAAGAATTCCATCCCCAGGGTACACACAAAGGGCCCTTTCTTAATCACTGTCCTCCGAGGCTCTGTGACTGCTGTGTTTTTACCCCTCTCTCCCACCATGAAATTCAAAGCATGAACAAATTCCAGTACTTAGAGAAAATGGTGCTGAAAGCAATTCAACCATTTCACACATCACATCTTCTGCAGTCACTGCCTAATTTGTATTTTTAACTCACATGCCTAATGTAGATAAGCATGCCATTTAGCACTGAGTCTGTTTGAGACTATATCAAATTTACAAGCATCATTTTGTAAAATCAGAACTGCACTGTATTTTGTGTGGATTTGAAAAGTGCCCTAATGTATTTGTATTTTAAATATAGAAGCTGGGCCAGATGCTCATATTTGAAAACAGCAAATCTGAACATGAGAATGATTTCAATATCTACATCTCCATTAGTAGCGGGGTTACATTGTCATCCCTTTGGGAAATTTGGTGGTATTAGAATGTAAATGCTATTTTTCAGATAAGAAAACCTCAATAGTATAGGTCATTTGTGGGATAGAAATAGCTTTGCTTTTTATTTATTTATTTTTTGGTAAATATTTTTGGTCATGATATATATAAAAGGAATACCATTTGGCATTTAATTATTCAAGGCAAACATAGCTAGCTGACAAGCTTCTTAGGGAGACTGAACAATCATACTGAATAACCAAACCTCCCTTTTTTCATATCTTTCATTTTACTGCAAGATGTTTGGTTGTCTGGTTTAAGAAAGTAGTATTAAATTCTAATATAGAGAAGTAGTGAATCACATTTTATTGTCAACAATCAAAGTTACTGCTATTTCCTACCCAGACCAAAGGAAGAATATCATGGTACTTTTTTTTTTTTGAGAGGAGAGTCTCCCTACATGTCCAGTGCTGACCCAGCATTACTTAAGTCTGAAAAACAAATCACAAAATTCTAAATAGGATAAACCTGGCACCATCTAGGCACAGCACATTCATGGGTCTACATTCCCAGAATACAAATCTAAATCACCCAAACAAAAAATAATCAAAAAAGGTAAGACTGTCAAATAGAAAGGCATATCAAACTAAATGGATTACCACACTTTGGGAATTATCAATGCCTTGGCTCTTGTATATCAGTTTACAGAGAAAGCCAGCCATAATTTGCCTCCTTTCCCTTTCACATGGGTAAATCCCTGAGGACAGACAGGCCTTGTCTGATTTAGCTGGAGGACTATGAATCATGGGGCACTAAAAATCAAGGGATAACTAACTGAGCTCAAATATTGAGACCTTTTTTCATCCACCCTATTGTAAATGGAACAAGGCATTGCAATATGGGAAATTCCTACCAACATGAGATAACTGACAATCCCACCCCTTGGGAGGAGGGGAGGAAAGCATTGCTCGGAGCCTTTCTTCCTGGATTAATTTTTCTAGACATTTTCCCAAACATTATATAATTAATCTTACAGAACCTAGGCCTTATTAAAAACTCATTAGCAAATATCCTTGGCTGTAAAAGGCACCATATTTAGCCGAATTTTGGCAAATAATAAACTTCACTGTACTTGGATAGAAATAGCCTCAGGTCCCAACAGCTCCCAGGGTTTACAGCAGATAGATAATCTAAGTGCTGCTCCAGCAGCCTAGCCTCCTCCCCAGCTCAGATAACTGCAGATGCCTCCTGCCCTTCCCTACCCCAGGCCCCACAGCATCAGGAGGGCACAGGCTTCTCAGGGCTGCTGCAGTGGAAAGAGTTCACTGTGCATGGAGATGGGCTGATGCTACATCTCAAAGGAGGCAATACCCAGTTAGGGAGCCTTTGATAGCAAAAGTGAAATTAGGACCACAAACCACTCTTCTCGTGTTACCTTCCTGTCTCCTTTTAAAACTGCAAAGAATTTAGAAATGGCTACATTTTGCATTTTTCTAGGGCACATGACTGTAATCTCAGCACTCCAAGAGAGGAGGATTGTAAATTTAAGCTGAGCCTGGCCAATTTTGTAATCTAACGAGACCCTGTTTCAAAAATTAAAAATAAGAAAAGGGTCAGGGATGTAGCTCAATTTGAAGGCTCCTAGGTTCAATCCTCAGTATGAAAGAGAAAAAAAAAGGAAGGGAAGGGAAATGGGGAGGGGAGGGAAGGGAAAAGAAAGATTGCTTTACTAGTAAATGTTTATGTGCAATGTTTATGTGCAACGTTTTGAGAACGGGAGGGACAGGGAGAGAGAGACTTGTCACTCAAGTGGAGGACACTTGTGCCAGCAGGAGTCCTTTAGACAGTCATCATTAACCCATGTGATCGGTGGCTGCTCAGAGAGCACCAGCGAGAACAGAGCCCGCTTTGACATTCAGAAAGCATTGGGTTTCTGAAACTTGCTTACTCATAAGTAAGGACCCACCTGAGGGACGAAGGATAAGCAGATTGGGGCCTCTGTTCCAGCTCTAAGAGGAACCCCTGGAAGAAGTTCCTCTGATCAGGCCAGCTTGGGAGACAGTAAACTGTAGGCATCTGAGCTCTCAGAAGGAGAAAAAGAGGGTCATGCTGAGATGAATGCTGCTGCCAGAAAGGGTGGGGGATGGCAAAGCCATTTCTGCATCTCTGATATTGCTTTGTAGGTCTTGTAATAATGAGTTTTCTCCACATAATGATCCAGTAACAACAGGTATGTTGTCCAATGTTTTCTATGTAGGAGTCACTCTTCATAATGAGGGAGAAAAATCAGACTTGAATTGAATGGGAACTATTTGCAGTTCTGACTGGTTGACCCGACATCAGGCAGAAATTGTCTGTCATTAGTTCTCATTCTTTCCCTCTTTGAAGATTTATACATATGTGTGTGTATATGTGTGTGTATATACATATATATAAATCTTCAAAGATTTGTATATATCCTATATAAGTGAGATAAATAAAGATACAGATATGCCTCTAAGTCCAAAACACAAAAAAGAGAAACCCTGCTAGTAACCCCACTCAACCGAAAAGTATAGCAGAAGCACATGAATTATTTTTAAACCAGTGTAGTGATAAGAAGCCTGAGCTAAGAAAGCCCTTTTAGATCATTTAATTTAGTAGCAACAAAAAATTTTTTGAAGTAGTTGAATTTTTCTGACAAATCTTATTCAGAAATGCAGCACAGGCACACACACACAGGCACACACACACACACACACACACACACACACACAAGTAAAAGGCAGGGACTCCAGCTAGATGGTGGGATAGACAGGGGAGAAGGAGCTTCATAATCTTACCTGCTCCACCACCCTCCTCACCTCTCAGCCAGGCCTAGGACAATGCCTCAGATCCATAGGGACATAGATGAAAACTATCCATGAGGTTCAGCGTCCTCATTCTACACTCCAAGCAACTCCCAAGCCCCAGGGAGACATGGCATGGCCTGGTGTTTGCCTGATGCCTGGGCTACTGTTCTTGGGCTGCCTCCCTGCCACATGTGCCACATGTCTCCTCACAACAGAATGACCTAGACACTGTGCACCCCACACACTGTGGAGCTATTTCCCTCTGAACAGAAACAGAAGTGCACATTAGCCCTGCTCTCTACAAACACTGCTCTACATCTGTAAGGATATCCTGGTCCTGTCTGCAGTCCTCACCATATGCCACGTTTCCTACCTAATCTTGACCAAAGAGTTTAGAAAATCACTTTTCAAGTGGAAATGCCCCGCAACTGAAAGCCAGTTGGTCCTGACTCCTCAATATCCATTTATCCATCAATGGCTCTCAACCCACTTGCATAATAGAATTGAGCTTTAAAAAGAAAAAAAGAAGACCATTCTTCCAACCTATCCCCACAGGTTCTTACTTGATTTGTCCAGGGTGAAATCCAGGCACAGTACCTGGAACATCTACTCAGCTGCTTCTGATGTGCAGTCAGGATTGCAAATCACTGAGCTATTTGAATAAGTATCAGAGACTATCAACAACTTTGCTTGTATTTTTAAAGAATCATTAAGTGTGAAATGATTTGTGTATGGATGATGTCCTCATGTATAAATATATTACTATTAAAGATGATTCCATGTTATCTCTGAAAAATATGAAAGTTCCTCATCCAACCAGAGATCTAAAGATAATCCTTGAATTGCCAAAAAACAGAAAGCAGGGCCGGGGATTTACCTCAGTGGCGCGGCGCCTGCCCAGCAAGCACGAGGCCCTGGGTTCGATTCCCGGTACCAAAAAAGAAAAGTGAAAAAAAAGAGAAAATAAAAGACCAAAAAACAGAAAGCATCACTAACTCTCATGTTCATTTCCAGATTTACAATGTCCATTACACCATGAGTATCAACGGGAAATTACAGGATGGGTCAATGGAAATAGATGCTGGGAACAACTTGGAAACCTTTAAAATGGGAAGCGGAGCTGAAGAGGCAATTGAAGTTAATGACTTCCAGAATGTAAGTATATTTCATGCTTAGAAAGTTTAGCCAGGCAAGCCTGGGGGACTTTTCCAATCCAAGAAAAGCATCACACACACACACACACACACACATCCAGAGTACCTGGAGTATCTGGAGTATCTGTTTTTCACAGCAGTTGTAGTGCCAGTAATCCACATGTGTCAGGTAGCATAGTCTCTCTGAGAAAGGAAAATGCTTCATACCTTTTTTTTTGGTTTTTTGAGACGGGGTTGATACATAGTTCAAGCTGGCCCTGAACTCAATGTATAGCCCAGGCTTGAACTTGAGGTGATTCTCCTGCCTTAGCCTCCCAAGTGCTGGGATTCCAACCACACCCAGCTTTGGTTCATACTTCCAAAAGGAAAAGACAATGTCTCTGGGGGTGGGGGGAGGGGGGGACACAAAGCAATACCACCTTTGAGTGCAGTGGTACACACCTGTTGTCCCAGCTACTTGGGAGACCGAAATAGGAAGATCCTTTCAGCCCAGGAGTTTGAGGCAAGCCTGAGCAACATAGTGAGTCTCTGTTTGAAGAAAGAGAAAGAAAGAGGACAGGGCCAGGGGAGAGTGTCAGAGAGAGAGAGAGAGAAAGAACAGGAAGGAGGAAGGAAGGCAGGAGAAAACTAAAAAGAAAAAAAACAACTTCATTGAATTCATTTACTTAAGGAAAGAACTGTTTTGAAAAGCTAATTTTACTTCTTGTAAATAAAAGATATAGTCCTAGGAATCAAAATAAAGCTTGACTTTTTGTTTTGTTTTGTTTTGTTTTGTTGAGGCAGGGTCTTGCTATACAGTTCAGGCTGGCCTTGAACCTACTATGTACCCCAGGCTGGCCTCAAACTCCTCGGCGATCCTCCTGCCTCAGCCTTCCAAGTGCTGGGATTACAGGTGTGCACCACCATGCCCAGCAAAGCTCAATTTTTTAAAATGAAAAATAAGTCACAATACCATTGAAAGGAGCAAACTCTCCTTGGAATTATATTAAGTATTGGCAGAAAGAATTGAAAGAACTCTTTTCAAGTTGTTTTCTATAACATGGCAAATAAAATGTTCAAATTATCCTAAAATGCTGCAAAGCGTGAAATTTGAATTTCTGGAGAGGAGAGAAATCTTAATTAACAACAGGCAGGAGCCGGGTGTGGTGGCACATCCCTGTAATCCCAGCACTTTGGGAGGCTGAAGCAGGAAGATCAGAAGTTTGAGCCCAGCCTGGGCAACTTAGCAACTGAATGTCTCAAAAAAAGAAGGAAAGAAAAGGGCTGAGGATGTAGCTCAGTGTGAGTGTGGAGGTTCTGGGTTCAATTCCAAGTACCACAAACAAACAAATCACATAGGATCTATTTACATACTTTGATTTCTCATTTAATCCAGAAAACTAGCATGGGCAAATTCTCTATTTTAGCCTGTGTTTTCTGGCCATGGCCTATTACAGATAAAACATTCAAGTATCCTTTGAAAAGGACTGCTTTGTTTCCCAAAAATTTGATTTACAGACAATTTGAGACATTAAGCTCTCCAGTGATGCTTTACTGTATATCTGCAAACTGAAGTGTCACTCCAGGCCTAATTTCCCATTGGCCAATGTACATATCTTATTATCTTTCATGTTCTGTGATAAGAAAGAGGCTCACTGTTTGGGTTTTCTTGTTAACTCTGCAGATGGAAGAGGTAAAACTTCATAATGAAAAAGGGCTCTTGAAAATAATGTCTCTTTTGATAGTTTATTGGTCCACAAACATCTCATCCACTCATCTTCCTGTGACTGATGAGAAAAACTAAGGATGCTTTTCATTTGAATGAAAGCACTCCTCTTGTTGGTACTGAAATACACTTCACAAGTCCTTTTGAATACAGAACAGATGCTGACATTAGAGCCATGCAGTGTTATACATTGTTTGATGATGACAAGGACTGGCTATGTTCAGAGTGGTCTCTGCCCTGGGGACAGGCTCTCCAGCTCTGAATGTGCCAGCTGTACTTTGTTAGGTCGTAACTTTGCAAGTGGTTCTAGTCAGTGTGCAAATATAATTTCTCTGAACCTATCACAGGTTTTTACTGTTAAGACCCAGGACAGGGTAAAAGCATTTTTTCTTTCTACTACTCAATATAAACTAATAAAATGTGGCTCCCCACACGCATTATTCAATTCACAACAAAATTGAATACCTAGGATGTGCCACGATATCAACATATGTGAAGGGAGCTACAAAGATGAATACGAAAAGACCCATCTCTCTCAAGATGTTCATGTATCAAGAATATCCTTTGAAAATATTTTAATCCCAAACCTATACATCTGTTTTATAATTCTTTGGTTCTAATAATGGTATTGATTGTGCTTTATTCTCATAGACCAAGAGGCCCACAAATATTTTATAAACTGATCAATTCTCTTTGATAGCATCCACATTTCTCTAAGTCAGAAATAGTGAGTAGAACATTTTTTTGATGGATAGTACCTGTTATGGGTTTAAACAAGCCTGGACTTTTGAAAACACATGAATCAGCCTCTCTGGTCATGCACTATTACTTTCTCTTCTATTTTAAACCATCAGTCAAATTCAGGAAGGGTTGATTGAAGCTCACTGTGCACAAGGGATGGCGCTAAGCATGGGGATGTAAAGATAAGTGACTCTTGTCCCTTAAGAATCTCCCAGTCCAGTCCAGGAGGTAGATGCACACAGAAATGGCTTCCAGTCAGCCCAGGAGCCCTGCTGTGATGAGCAGTGAGCATAGTGTGCAAGCACACAGAGGCATCACTACCGATTAGGGTCTTTGAGCAGGTTGACAGAGGTGATGACAATTGCATCAGGTCCTGAGAACGATTTGGATTTCAACAGGAAGAGAGGTAGGGGCAGGACTTTCCAGGACCAGAGAAGAGTAGTGAGCACAGGTGTGCAGTCCTATTTCCAGTGTGGTTGAACATGGGGAAGGGGGCATGAAGGAGATATGGGGAAGGGGCCAGGTTGTAAAAGGTTCTGATCTGTCAATGAGCAGTCTCCCATTTACCCAGAAGCTCACCAAGACTTTAATGGAGCCCAACAGTGGAAAAAAGAACCTCTTGAGGAAGAAAAACACTAAAAAAATGCTTTGGGGAGATACAAAAGCCCAGTTAATAAGTTATATTCTAGTAGGTTATTCACAGGCATCTATGCTAGCTTAGGCCAAGCCTTTCAGATATAATGCCCCATTTAAATCCTGATTAGAAATTGTAAGAAAATACTGGTAAGTATATGAGAGTCCACTGTACAATTCTTTTAACTTATGAATATTTGAAATTTATAATTTGAAAAGCTAGAGAAAAAGGATAGCATAACTATAGGCTACTGATTTCAAAAATCAATATAACTCCCAAATGTAACATAAAGGAAAAATAAAATGAAAGTAATTGAAAGTAAAATATGGATTTCATATGTAAATTCTCACCTTGATGCATTAGAAAACATAGTAAAGTTAAACACATGCACTTGTGGTTGAATAACTGTCAATGCCACGACCTAAAATGTAGACAGACACAAGTGTGTTTTGACAATTAAATTTTAAGTGATTTTCCCAAACAGTAGACATAAGTACCAATTAGTTCCGTTTTCATAGTAATTACATTTCTAGGAAATTCACTATACATAAAAACTATGCCAAAATCACTGACTGTGCTTATGTGGAAAGCATTGGATTCTAGGCACAGATACCTACACACAGGTTATCCTTGAACCCAGGACAGTAAGTTCTTTGGGTCTGCCTCAGGCTCCGCAGAACCCAGCATCCCTGGGCACTGCCAGGTAAGGACAAGATTCCTCCAAAGATTTCTAAAAAGCCCTTGGGTGTAGGGCTCCCTATCGTTGAAATCCTTCTGGATGTCATAGAAATAGATGATACTTTAGAAAGAAGGAAAGGGGTTCCAAGTTGAGATTATCTGACTCTTGCAAAAGAATGTTAGATTTTTGAAATCATCGCTCATTGCCTTTGTTAGCAAGTTTCTTCATTATCACTAGCATCTAAGGCCTTGTTTAGAAAAGCAGGAGGTTCTCTTGGCTTTCTTCTGCTTCTTTCAGTTCCTTCTGCTTAATCTCTTAATATATTTGCCTGCCTAATGTGGATTTATGGCTTGACATGGTGGTTAATGCATGTGAATTCTTTCCCATGGTCCCAGCCCCATGGGGTTTCAGTTCTTTTTGCAGCATGTAGTCTGACAGTACTAACTCCATTCTGGCTTCTCATATGGTGCTGCTAATCCTCCAAGAAAATCAGCTCTGCCTCCTGTGGGGGCACAGTAATGGTTGTGTGGCCTTTCCTCCCACACATCTCACACCAGAGGACAGGAGTGTTGGAAGAGAACATATCACGTAGGGAGGCAGTCATCTCCTTCCTTTGTCTTCTATTTTTCAAACTATGATTCTTGGATTTACATGCAGAATAATGACAGCAGAACTTTGGAAGGTAGCAGAGCAGACAACTGTGGTTCTCAGAGGGTGTTCTGCAGGCCACCAACAGGATAGCATCCAAGAATTTATTGGAAATGCACATTTTAGGCCTGCCTAGTTGGAACACTGGGATTGGGATCCAACACTCTGTGTCTTATTCTGATGCAAGCAAAAGTTTGAGCCATTGGTACAGAAGGAACTTGGATCCAAAGGCTATTGTAGTCTTTAAAAAATGTAGTTACCCTGAATAAATGCCTTTCATTCTAGATTGGTAGTCCTTGGCTACAGACACCTTGAAGAGCTTTCTTTCCAGGAGATTCTGGTGCCTGAAGTCAGAGCCCTGCATCCAGCCTTGGTGGTTCTCCTCCTGAGCAGGGTCCCTACCCCTGCCTCTGTGAGAATGAGTTGGTCCCAGGAAAAATAGGTGAAATGGGTGATGTGTGTGCATGTGGCCAGTCAGGCCTCCAGGCAAACAGTAAGGCACTTTGGGAAGAAAGCCACTTTTTTCTCTCTTCACCAGCTGGTACCTGTCAGCTTCTGCAGGGCACCTGGTGCTGAGTTCAAATAAGGCAGAACTTTCCATGAATCTCCTTCTGGATGACTTACATTTAGCTTCATTCTTCATTTAAAAAGATTGAATCCTGAGCCAGGATCCTAGACTTCTAAGTGTTCCTCATCCCCCATTCCTTAGCACTGACCCAGGAGCTGGTTCCATATTGTTCTGGCACTTGTCTCAACAGAAGATTGTCAAGATTCAGCTTTGTGTCTACATTATTACAGTATAAAATTTATGACCTTTAAGACTATTTTTGGCCACTCATTTGTCATGAAACCAAAACCAGCATCATGAAAGTAAATACTCGTGGGATAGAATGTATCTGTGGGTAGAAGCAGTGCCCAGCTGTAGGCCAAAACGGAGCCTTGTGGCCAGTGTTTCCCTTGAGGCTGGTCCCCAGCAGACATGGAGGAGACACTGTTTATATCTCACAGGGGCAAAAACCAAAACATCCAAGTTCTTGAGTAAGGTGTGGGAGCAAACTTCAGTTCTTGGTAAAAAGCTTTACTGTTTATTCTGGGCTTAGTAATTTAGAAAAATTCCAAATTAATGGATTTTTGCTTTGTTTTTGAGACAGGGTCTCACTATGTAGCCCAGGCTGGCCTCGAATTTGTGGTGATCTTCCTGCCTCTGCCTCCCAAGTGCTGAGATTACAGGTGTGCACTACTATGCCTGGCTAAATTTTGGATTTAATTATTTTGACTCACATCTTTTGAGAACATTTGTAGGATCACCAAAGAGAATAAACAAACAAACAAACTCAGATACTGGTTTCAAGAAGCTTACAACTGAGTAAGCAGTGTAGACTAAATGCAAAATGGGAGATGAAGATGACAGGACTTACCTGAAGTCAGAGGCAAGAGAGCTTACTTAGACTGGGGGCTCCAGAGAAAGCTGCATGGAAAAAGTAGCAATTCATCTGAACTTGAAGGCAGAGGGAGAGTAACTCACATATCTGTCTTGGCTCAAATGTCACCTCTCCTGACTGTGCTGTGTAAAGTACAATCCCTGGTCATTCCTTTCCTCTTTCTCTGCCTTGCTTTTCTTATTTCTACTTGACTTTTTCTCTATTTTGTATTATTGGTAAATAATGCTAAATTCCATGAGAAAAAGGATTTTATGTTTTATTCACCCCTGTACTCAGCACCTGCAGCAGTGCCTGGCACAAAACAGACACATCATAAATTGAATAAATGAATGGATGTATATACTTTTATCTCATAGGGCATCACAGGAATCCATTTTGCTGGAGGAGAGAAGTGCTACATCAAAGCACAGGTGAAGGTTCATGTTCCTGAGGTGGGCACTGTGACCAAGCAAAGCATCTCCGCCGAACTGGTGGGTCCTGGTGTGCTCAGACAGTAAGAGAGTTTGAAGGAACAACTCCTTCAGTCTCAAGACCAGAATCTAAGTTTTGTTTTTTCTCTGCCAAAGGAATTTAAATTCTGTCCTACTGGTCCAAAGGGAGTATTCTTTCAAAAGGTTTGGGAAAGCCACATTTTAAAGTGCATAAATGGGCTTCATGCTCACATAACCTTCATTTGCCTGATGTTAGTGAATCAGTGACTAAGACTCCACATTAAAGATAAAAGACTCCAGCTGGGGATTTAGCTCAGTGGCATCGTGCCTGCCTTGCAAGCTCAAGGTTATGAGTTCAATCCCTGGTACGGAAAAAAAAAAAAGATATAAGATTCAGTCTTCATGAAAGGGGCTCTCAGAAGCCCTCTAGCCTCAGCCCCATGCAATGTGGGAATTCCTTCCAAATATTCTGGTTAGCTGATCACCCAGCTTCTGCTAGAAAGCTGTAACAGGATACTCCCACTATCAGTCAGCCGGCTTCACCACCAGGGAAGTTCTAATGGTTTTGTCCACCTATGAGCAGAAATAGTTCCTCCTACAATTTCTTCTCTTTAGCTCAAGGTCAGTGAATTGACACAACAAAAATTTAATTCCTTTCCCATGTGTCAGTTTGTGAGGTTTTTTTTTTTTTTAAACAATCCTTCAATTTCCATTAAGCTTGATTTTTTTAAAATGTAAGAATTGCAGAGTTCTAAAGACACACTTAACAATAACCCCTTACATTCTTACCATACTTTAAGGCTTACAAAGTGGTCACATCGATTATTGTCTTGCATTTGGCAGGCATGGTGGGGGAAAAAATGGGACTTGGGAGTCAGAAAAAAACGTGAAGTCAAACCCCAGCTCTGACACTTGCTATGCATGACTTTAACTCCTTGAGCATCAGTTTTGTCATGTGCAAACTGGGGGTGTACACACTGTGTCCGTGGCCCTAAAACCCACTACATGGTGAATGGATGGCTGTTGCTCATTATCGTTAATTTTATTATGATCATCTCTGAGCCTTCCAGTATCCCTGAGGGGGAAGTGAAGTGTCAGCTCCCTCAAGGCAAGAGAGAAAATAAGGATAAGCGAAGGTGCCTAGAAACTGCCTGATTACCCTCATAGGAGCAGCAGTGTCTCAAAACAAAAGCAAACAAAAGCCAAAAGCAAACCTGTGAGTTTGAAAGTGGGCCACTATGTGTTCTGGTTTCTTTCTTACTCCCACAGTGTCCCCAACATTCATCCTGTGAGATGTTTTCCAGACCTCCACAGCTCTAGTTATTCCTTGATCATATGCTAGTCTGATCCTCCTGAGCTAGGGCACTCAGAATTGAAGGCCATGCTCTCTTCCTGTGAACTAACACCACGCTGAAATGGGATGGAGACCTCCTTTGTTCTGATCTTTGAACTTCTCTTATTGAATTGCCATTATTTTTATTATCATCCCTCTCCGTTTCTGCTGTGAAGACTTTACTGAATTATAATCCTTGCCATTTCCCCATCCATGGACCTGGAGCGCATTCTTTTCTCCTCTTACAAGGACCACCTCCCCAGCCAGAGCTCACTCAGAACCAGTCATAAATTTTCAATACATTTTGTAGATTTTTAAAAAGTAACCTTTTCCCCTTGGTTTTTAAAAACAATACTTTGTTACTGTAGCAAATTTGGGAAATACATAAAAGTACAGAGAATGCAATCACTCATAATTGCATAATCCACAGATAATCAAGGTTAACATTTCAGTGGATTTTCTGTATTTGTGTATGTCATTTTCATAAGTTAGACTGTTGTACATTATAATTTTCATTTAACTTTAGTTCTCTTAAAATGTAGATTATTATGGATATATTGTAGATCATATGTTAATTTTCAGTCTTTTATCCCCAAACATTTCAGGTATCTTCAATTTTTCACTGTTTCAAATAATAGCTGAAAAAACTTCCATGATAGTGAATTATTTTTGTATTTTAATTGTTGTCAGTATTTGATTCTTAGGCCACAGAAGTAGATTTGTCTTTTGTTTTAGTTGTTTATATTGTGGATGGTGGATCTTCTGATGGACAAAAACTAATTCAGAAAATACATGCTTGGCTGTCAGTAGTGGACAATTTAGAGTAACTTAAACAAATAGAGATTTGTTTTTCTCACTGTGGGCAATGCAGAGGTAAGCAGCTGCAGGCACTGACTCAGCAGCCAGCATCTCTGTGGTTATTTTTTTTTTCTCTGTGGTTATTTATTTTCCTTTCCTTCCAACTTCAACTATGGTGGTACTGGACAACCTCTGATTTAGTCAAAAAGACTGAATGCCAAGCATGACTTAATTAGAAAAAGCAGGCCTCACAACCCACAAAACACTTTGGCCTGGATTTCAGTGGCCATCACTGGCCACCCCATCACCCCTGGGCCTAGAAAGTATGAGAAAGCAAGTGTCTCCTGACTCTGGACACACTGCTGCCTCCAACAAAAGCAAGGCTGTCTGGAAGGAAGGGAAAAAAGGAAATATACTGAGTAGGCAACTGAAACAATGTGCCCCAAGATTCATTTAACATTCTTAGCTTATCGGTTGCATCTATATGCATTATCCTAATCATCCTACTCTTCCCCACACACTTTACACTATGATGGGGAAGATTTTTACACCACTTGCCCTCATAAATTCTTCATAAGTTTTGTATAACTTTAAAAAAGCTACTGTACTCAAGAGCATTCATTTCCTGGAAGAAGCCATTTAATTTAAGGTAAATAAATGGATTACTTGAGTGTTTGCTTCCTCCAATAACTTTAAGTTGTTTTAATGCAACCATAACCCTGAGGGAGAAACATAAATGAAGTGCTGCTTTTAGCTTAAAGTAAGGAGAAAACATTTTAATTTCTCCTACCTATTGCAAACTAATAAATACATGAAAGGAACAACTGGAAAAAATAAATTTGTCTCCTGGGTTATCAAACCATTGTCAGCAACTTGCTGTAGAAGAAAATCCAGGGTTTAGCTTTGAAATCTCAGTGGTGTGCTTGATGTGAGGAACATCTGAAATATATCTTGTTATAGCTGGGAAATGGAGAAATGGTTTATGTTAAATAATACTTTGAACTGCAGACATTAAAGAGCCAATCACTTGCTTTTTCCATTGTTGTTTGAAAGCTTCAGAACAAAACCCCAAAAGATTTTCACTTCAAATGAAGGGTTCCTCTATCCTTTTATAGGATTTCAGGGCCTGTTCAATTGCTTTTCTGCAAAAAACATCTTTGATCGAAAACATGAGATTAACCCAAATCTCAAAGTTGATATCAAGTAATTTTCACTTCAACTCAGAACACTATTCACACATTACAGCTATCCAGGGGGCAGGGCAATGGGAGGAGGCATGCTGAATACTAGGAAGAGAGCTACAAAGAGATTGGAACTTTAGAGTGTGCATGCACACACCCACACAGAATTCTCCATAAGTTTTCATAAGGCAAAATAATCTTTTAGCAACATGTGATGTTCTACTGTCCTCTTTGTTCAAGTGCATCTCATTTTTTACTTATAGGAAGGCAAGATCATGCCAGTTAAAAATGAAGAAAATTCTCTTATCTGGGTGGCTGTTGACCAGCCTGTCAAGGACAACAGTTTCTTGAGTTCGAAAATCTTAGAACTTTGCGGCAACCTCCCTATTTTCTGGCTTAAACCTACATATCCAAAAGGTAACATTTTAAGTTTTCGCAATGCTGCTTGGAATTATCCATTTCCTGTGAGGTTCATCAGAACCTCTCCCAGGTTAGGGCATATAATAAAGAACAAAGCAGGGTGTATGTGGTAGTGTCCTCCTAAAAGACAAAGTGACATCTGTGATTGCATCAGAAAATGGAAGGAGCAACAGGGTTAACATGAGGCAGACCAGGAAGACAAAAAGCACTACTGCATTACCTGCAGCTTTTATGATGCTCCCAATTCTTCCCACTCTGCCCCTTAATCTGTTGTTTGCACCTTCCAATTTTACATTTTTTATTCCTAAGTCATAGAATCAGTGGTCTAAGAAGCTGTCAAGCCACCAGATCTTTATTATTTTCAAGCCTAGAATTATGGGGCAGCCAAAAGCTGCTGTGGATATAGGCTGAGATTCCTCAAGTTCAAGGCTTGAGAATCAGCTTCCAAGTTCAGAGGAAATAAATTCAGGTCACTGGGGTTTGGAATTATATTGGAAGATATCTTTGAGCTATTTCCAGGTGACAAAGGGCAGGTGAGCCCAGTGGCCCTTGCTGTTTCTCCTATCCCCAGAGGGCCTCTCACTTCATCTCTGCTGCAGTCACCATGCTGGTCTCCCCCAAGGCCTACTCGGAAGTTCTGGTTTAGAACCAGGGGTGGGGGTGGGGGCTTTCTCCTAACACAGCTGAAATAAGCTGTTTTCAGAAAAATTTTAATTGAATACCAGGAGAACACAGTATAGAAATGAGGGCCGGGGATTTAGCTCAGTGGTTCCAGCGCCTGCCTCGCAAGCACAAGGTCCCAAGTTCGATCCCCAGTACCAAAAAAAAAAAAAAAAACAGTATAGAAATGAAAATACAGGCATTAAAACCTCTAGCTTTGGTAGGGACCTTGTAGAAAAACAGAACAGGCAGTTAATGTTTAATAGGTAGTTTCAGTTTTTTGCAACATGAAAAAGAGTCTAGAGATGGATGGTAGCGATGGTTGTACAACAGTGTGAATGTGTTTGATGTCAATGAACCACACACTTAAAAAATGGTGTAAGTAGTAAATTTTGTTATGGATTAAAAAAATACCTCACCAGGCTTAGACGGTACAGTTTTCTAATTGTACCATAACTAAATTATTCCTAGGGTTCACAAGTCCTATACTGTTCCAAAGCCTGGAGGAAGTGGGTGTTCTCTAGCCGAGGCCAGGTCAGTTGAGTCCAGTGTGCAAACCACTGGTAGTGGCTGCCTAGCATAGTGAGGCAAAAAGAATCCTGAGGCCATGTGCAGGCTCAGTAAGAAAGAATACCACATCTGTGTCTGTCACAATGTAGGTGGCTGCAGAAGGGGCATATCCAAATGACCTATTTCAGTTCATGCCCCTGTAGAATGGCTATAACTCATAATTCTATGGTCACTTGTCAAATTCTGGATTTCCATCCCCCATCCTTCACCTAAGTAATCATCTTGCTTGTCACCACCCAGAAACTACAACCTTTGCTAGTTAAGAACAAGGGTCTCCTACACTGCTACCATGTAGAGCTCTCCCTAATAAGGCTCTTAACCAGAGTTCACTCACCCATTCAAGAAACATTTATGGGGCTGGGGATTTAGTTCAGTGGTTCCACCACCTGCCTCGCAAGCACAAGGTCCCGAGCTTGATCCCCAGTACCAAAAACAAACAAACAAAAAACATTTATGAAGGGCTATCATGTGCCATATAACTTGTGATCCTTGAGGTGCATTGCTGAACAAAACTAACAAGAATGCGTGTCCTTAAGGAATTTTAAATGTAGGAAAATCAAACATAAAATACACACTAAATTAAGAAAATTGTATAGTATGATACAAGGTGCCATGTAGAAATATTGCAAGGCAAGTGGGGGAAAGGAGGAATGGGAACACAGTACTACTGACAGTGCTAAAATGTCAGGCACAATAAGTAACTTGATCCTTCAGAAACAGCTTGTTCTAGCTACATGTAGGATATTCCTTGGACTTTCACTGCTCAACAGCATAGCATAACCACATCTTAAGTATTCCAACCATCACAGCATACATACAAAAACTTCACATATTGTGCTGAGGTTGTAATTCCACCATTGCCTAGCTTACAAGGCATTCGATCTCTAGCACCTCAAAAAAATGTATACACATTATGTATATCAGAAAAGTAGAACCCAAATTAGAAAAGTATTAAATAAATGTTGGTATATCCATAGGATGGAATATATTAAAAATAAATGTGTTTTCTTCCTTATCTCTCATAAGTGCAGTTATAGTTTACAATAAAACCAAGAAAATAAATTTCCCTCAGATGACGATGCCTGGTTCCCACCTGATTTTCTCATAAAATCCTCCAACTCCAGGATCCAGTAGCCCCTGTCCCTTGAATCTTGAAGCCAGCAGGTTATCAGTGTCACAGAGCTGTATTAATAACCACACTGTGAATGGTGGCTGGACACAGATCAGAAGGGTGAGCAAAGGGGAGATTTCTTATCTGCTGTGCTGCCTGTGTGCCAGGCACTGTCCTGGAGCATGATGTTTTATCCTCATTTAAGCTTTACCAACAAATGTTGGAGTAACTACTCCAGTTCCCATTTTACAAGTGAAGAAACCAAGGTTCACAGAGATTAATTTGCCTGAGTTAATTCACAGAGTTAATTTGCCCAGTTAAAAGAAGTGGAGCTGTGAATCCAAGTATGGCTTTAAAGCACATCTAAGTTCTCATAAATAACAAACCACGATATAACCACCTGACATTTAAGTGCTTATTATAAGCCAAACACTGTGCTAAAACCTTTAGATACAGATTTTCATTAACACTATTACTACTTTATGAATTAGATACAACTATCCCCATCTTACAGATAAAGAAACTGGGGCTCAGGGAGATACCAAAGTGCATGCTGTGTGGTACTTTCCATCTTTGTCCCTCAGCCGTCATCTGTGCTACAGGATCTATGAGGCAATGTGGTTAACCAGAGCACTGGGTTGGAAGACAGTTCACCTCCAGGCCCTAGCTTGGCCACTCATCCTGAGATCTTGGCCAAGCCACTTGGTCTTTCTAAGCCTTAATGCTTTCTTTCTCTGTGGATTTTTTATATGAATCAACCAAGATAAAGTCCTTTGCAAACTATAAAATTTTATACCTATATAGTCAATCTATTAGGAATACATACAGCAACAAGGAATGAAATACTTGATCGAGTGGTTTCAACATTTTTTGTATGTATATATGGTAGTCACAAGCCTGGAGATATAAGGTTTTGGGCAGTATCAGCTCCTCATTCAATCTGATCTCTTTTCTAGCTGTTTTGCTGTCTGTAACATGTTGGCTTATCATCTTTGTGTCTATCACTTCATGATCACAAGGTGTCTCTGGTAACTTCAGATTATCACATGGTTATGGTTTAGATCTAGAATGCTCCCCAGAACTCTCCTGTGTTCAGAGGTGGGGCTTTTGGAAGGTGATTGGATCATGGCAGGTGCTATAATCATCAGTGGCTTAATTCACTGAAGAATTCAGAGTTGAATGTGCTATTAGGTGGTGGGACCTGGTTACAAGGGGCAGGTCACTGGGGGTGAACTGGAAGGATATGTTTCCCTCCTTGGCTCCTCCCACCCCTCTCTGCTTCCTTGTTCCCATGACATGAGCAGCTTCCCTCTGGCAGACCCTTCTACCAACCTCTTCTTACACTGGAGTCAGCTGACTGTGGTCTGAATCCTCTAAAACCATGAGCCAAAATGAACCCTCTCCTCTTTTAAATTGTAAGTCTGCATATTTTGTCTCAGTGATAAGAGACTAAGATACGTATCTATATTTGAGAAAGGAAAATAATATAGGAAGCCATATCTACCCTTTTACCATAAAAGCAAAAGCTTTCCTATAAATTGCATTATGTCTCATTAGTCAGAAATGATTCACCTGTATACTCTAATTGCAAAGAAGGCAGAGAAAATGAATAGTATTTTATTTACTCAGCCCCCATAGTGAAGGTAGGCAAAGAAAAAGGGGGCTGAGAATGCAGATTTGTCAACCATCTTCTGATGTCTCCTTCAATTAGTATTATGAAATCAAAATGGGTTAACTATTTGTTTAACTATGAAAGGAAGGCTCGAAATATGCCCTATTATTACAAAGATCAGTACAAAAATTTAGTAGTCTCTAGTCATGTTTATGTTTTGATATCCTTTCTTGCATTTTTCACCCTAAAAAATGCAAACCTGACTTCCTTAATTATTCAACTAAAGGAATTAACTTACAGTGATTTTTACAGAAATCCAAAGAGAAAGAAGGGATGTGGTAAGAAAAATTGTTCCAGCTACCACAAGAAGGCCACGCAGTGGGCTACGGGGCAACACAGTACCTGGAAGACTGGGTAATGAAACCAGACCCAGTGTTCAAGAGGACGAAGAACACTTCAATCCTGATAATCCTTACCACGTGCGTACTGGTGTTTTTGTGACATGCTCAGATGAATCCATTAAATGCTGAAATGATGTTTCTGTTTGAGGTAAAAATACTTAAGCATTGTATCTGTAGTGTAAAACCCTGATTGGTTGTAACCCTTATACAAAGTTTGCTGAGCTCTCCTTTTTTTGTCACAGGAAAATTCATGAAAACATATTATCAGGAATTTGATTATTTAGAAATGTTCGCAAGTATGCTCTAGTAGCAGTACACAGAATGAAAGTATTCACTCTTTAAATCCACTTTACTCATCATCCAACAGACATTTGTGGATTTTCTGCTCTCTTTCCCCAGGGCCCCATGCCCACAGTCAGGAGTAACTTCTGCCTGAAGGGGCTCTCAGACCAGTCATGGAATAGACTCATACAAAGATAAAAAATATTTAGACTGAACCCCTGAGAACTGATGTTTGTGAGAATGGCACTAAGGTGGTAACAACTCAAATCTCCTAAGAATTAGTATTTAACATTACTCTGCTTTGCAGGAAGTGAAAGAATAATACTTATCTGTAACTAGTCTTCAAAACATGAGTGTGCACACACATTTTTTTAAAAAACACACAAGGACACAATGTAAAGCCAAGTTTCCCTTCCACACATACACCCTCAACATAAAAAATTATGTGCCTTACTTTCTTTCATTATATAGTATTTTGGAACTTGTTCTTTATCTCCTGCATATCTCTGCCTAATATACTTTATATTCATTTGGAGATTACTCTGTATCTCCTAAATAATCTCTCATTTAATGACCTCTATTCATTTAGTAGTATCCCAACATATGGAGAGACATAAAAATTTAGTTCTTAGTGGACATATAAATTACTTCTCTATCTTCTGTTCTTACAAATCCTGTTGGAGCACACCACCCATACAGGACTTGACAGGGTTATGGGAAGGAGTAAATGAGGTAATGCAGGTGAAGATCTTAGCACAGGGCTTGGCACACAGCATTAACTTGCTCCTTGTTAAGTATTAGTATTCCATCTCTTTTACACTCAGGTAAGTATATCCTTAGCAGAAATATAAGTCTAGGTCTTTAGCATAAATACATGGGTCTGCTATGGGAATTTTACATTTTATTGGGGGCTACCAAACTTCCAGCTAAGGAACCATTTACTATCAAACTTTTTTTTTCAGGTGCTGGGGTTGAACCCAAGTCCTCACATTTTTTTTTTTTAAACCTTTGCTAATTCCATAGGCATATAAATTTTTTTTAATTTAATTTTTTTTGGCATATAAATTTTACCTCCTGGTTGATATACGTACAGTTGAACATCTTTTCATGCACCATCATTTGTGCATTTTTTTCTTTGTAGCCTATTAAATTTTACACTGCTTCATATATTACAAATTATTTTCTAGTTTATTATTTTAGACTTAATATATTTTAGAAAGATATAAAACAAAAAGTATTTCCTGAATAACCAAAAGCTTATCAGAAAATTCAACAATACCCCAGTATTTCATTCAGCTCAAAGAATAACAAGTCTGAATAGGTAAACAAAATTTAACATAGTTTATTCTCTAGGCAGCTGGGTTGGCTGAGTCTGTTCGAGGGATGAGGACATAGCTACTTTACTGAAGGGCCGGATGTGACTCTGCCCTGATTCCATATTTGAATGATCAATATTCCTTGAAAATCTCCAATCATATAAGCGTTTCCTTTATTATATCCTGAGCTGTAAGCAAAAACAATTAAAGCATTTCTCACCATGACCTCAGGCCTTCACATTTTCTTTAAGAAAAAAATCTTAGAGTAACAACCCATTTCCTACCAACTTTTTAATCCTAACAAACCTTTGTTGAACACTCAGGTGAGGAAATACTTCAACTAACAGAGTTTTGTTTTGTTTTGTTTTGTTTTTTGTCATCTTCGGCCCCAGAAAGCCAGCTATACTTAATGAGGTGGTTATCTTTTTGTTGCCCCAGATGAACCTATTTCAAGAGATAAGGAAAAAATAGTCTGAAGAATGGTGTAATAGAGTAAGATATATTAGTAGATATTTTGATGACATTTACACATAGGGTATATCAGAGAGTGTTAGGAATTATTTTGTTAGGTATGATAATAGCAATGTAGTTGCAGAGGAAAATGACCTTTTATTTTGGAGGTACATTCTTATGTATTTATGGGTAAAATGTCACAGTGCCTTCAACTTTTAAATTCATATCAGAATTTACTCTAAAATACTTCAGAAAGAACCAGCAAAATTGGCCATTTGTTAGTAACCATCAAATCTAAATATACTGATGTTCAAAACACAATTTTCTCCGACTTCCAGTATATCTGAAGATTTTAATATGCCTTCCCCCAGTTAAGACTAAAACTAAAAAAAAAACCCCAAAACACAAAGAACCAACATATATCATGTAAAAGTACAAATTCCCAATGATGGACATCATCATATTGTATACTTAAAATGTACCAATAAACTTAATGAATTAAAAAACAAACAAAACATAATCAGCTACCTCCAGGAAAGATGTAAAATATAAGAGAATTTAAAGATATGGACTTCTTGGCAATATAATACTTTTATAAAGAGCATTCAAAATCTTGAGCCCTAGATATCCTGAAAAGGTATACCAGATACGCAAATTGAGCAAAGGGCAAGTTCCTTCTACTTTTATAATTTCCCTAGCACTGAAAATGGAGACTTTTACTTCATTCATATGATTTTGTGTTTGGTAAAGATTAAGGTCTTGAATTTCTATATATACGTAGGTTTTTCCTGAGTGTTCCAGACCCCGTATGTCTCCAAGGATATTAACTTCCCTATTATGTTGCTAAAATGATGACAGGAGCAACTAGCACAGTTTTGGGGGCCAGCAGAACTGGAACTGAAATCTGTCTGTATCCTAAAATCAATTGAGTTTCAAAATGGAGACATAAGAACCTTGTAAGCCATTACTACAAAAAGGCACCAGTGTTTGGCTGATGTACAATTAGAAGTTGCAGAAATCCTCTTTTTTATTCTAATGTTTCTCTTTTGTTTTCTTGTTTAAAACAGTCAGAAATGAAGTGGTAACCATGACTCATTAAAAACATGGAGAAACTTCAGGATATAGTTTATTTTAAAACCCACAACGTTTTTTTTTTTTGGAGACAAGGTCTCACTTTGTAGTACAGGCTGGCCTCTAACTTGCAGTGATCTCCTGCTTCAGCTTCCCAAGTGCTGGGATTACATGTGTGTGCCACCACACCTGGCTAAAAACTTTCTGACAGTGACAGATTTTGAATAATGGCAAATGTAAGATTGAAAACTCCTTTGAAGAAGGTTATGCTGATTTCTTGTAGTGGAGAAAAACTTAGGATCTTATTTTACAATTACATGCATGTTGGTAACTTCTCATTATGAAGAAAATACAAATCATTCTCTTTTATCTCACAGCAGCAAGAAGGAGAAAGCATGACATTCGATCCCAGACTGGACCATGAAGGAATCTGTTGTATAGAATGTAGGCGAAGCTACACCCATTGCCAGAAGATCTGTGAACCCCTTGGGGGCTATTATCCATGGCCTTATAATTATCAAGGTTGCCGTTCAGCCTGCAGAGTTGTCATGCCATGTAGCTGGTGGGTTGCCCGTATCTTGGGCATGGTGTGAAATCACTTCATATATTAGGTGCTGTCAAGTAAGAACTGAGAGTGGACAACCAAAGCAGAATAAAGCATGCTGATGCCAAGGGACCACAAAGTATTTTATACTCAACCTGAGCAATGTTATTCTAGACTCTTATAAAAGAATTTCTCAAATGCTTTCCAGAACTTTAGTGTGTATAAATGTACTGAAAGAATAGTTTAAGTCTATAGTGCCATAATAATCCCTCTATTATTTCCTTTGTTTTGACAATAAAGCCTCCTATAAGTCTTCCCAAGCTATTATAAAATAAACACGAAAAAATATTAAAAATTTGTCAGAGATCTCAACTGTACACTTGAGTTCCAAGTCATGACCAAAATCATTCGTTATTCTGCTACTTGTACAGAATTCAGTTGTTCTTAACTTTCATTCTCATTCCCAGTCTTTTGTTTTGTTTTGTTTTTTGGTATGGGGGATCGAACTCGGGACCTTGCGCTTGCAAGGCAGGCAGTGGAACCACTGAGCTAAATCCCCAGCCCTCTCCTTCCCAGTCTTGCAAATGTACACTCAAGAGTATCCAGAAAACTGGGTGAGGTGGCGCATGCCTGTAATCTCACACTCAGGAGGCTGAGGCAGGAGGATCGCCATGAGTTCAAGGCCAGCCTGGGCTACATAGTGAGTTCCAAGCCAGCCTGAACTACAGAGTGAGACCTTGTTCCAAAAAAAACTTTTAAAAAGAGTATTCAGAAAAAACACATAAAGGAAAATAAGTCATATAATGGAATCTATCTTAAAGTAAACATTAAACCTCAGTGTGGTAGCTCATGAGGAATTATTTATCTATAAATTATGCTGGCATGTTACCAACAACTGGCAGCCCTATATTTAGAGTTACCTCCAGTAAGAGTAATAAAGAAAAATGTATTTGAAGAAAAATCAGACCCCTGGGGAAGGACTTTATTGGCATTATGAAAAGCAGATCTTCATGCCCTTTTTAATCTGTTTCTAATAAGCAATCAATGAGCAAGAAGCAGCATGATGGTTTTTACCTTTGTAGTACAAATTAGGGTGCTGATGTATCCCAAATACCAAAAAGTCACTTTCCTAGTAATAGGCTGACAGTGTTGCTTGGCAGATATGGCAGAGACAGTATAGTTTATTTATAATGACATGAAGGAAATCTCTCAGGAACAAGGACTGTCTTTAGAAACTAAAAAGTTAGATCAGGAAGATGAGCAGATATTTTAATTTTTTGACATTTTAGTTTTGAATCTCACAGTTGGGAGTTTGGAAAAGAAAAACATTCCTAAGGAAAATAAAGTTTCCCAAAACAGGATTCTGAAATGACAGAAAGGTCTTGATGCCATACCACCATATTCTGAATACTGTACATCTTTTACTATATGTGTGGTGCTTGCCAATTAAAATCTGTAAAAAGATACAGAATTTTAACAGTCAAGGACAAAAACCATATGATCATCTCAACAGATGCAGAAAAAGCATTTGACAAAATCCAACAGCCATTCATGATAAAAATCCTACAGAAAATTGGCATGGAAGGTGTTTATCTCAACCTCATTAAGGGTATCTATGAAAAACCAACAGCCAACATCATACTAAATGGTCAAAAACTCAAAATTTTCACGCTAAAATCAGGAACAAGACAAGGATGCCCACTATCACCACTCCTG